CACCTTTAAATCCCTGGGCAGCACTGCTGGGACGGACATCACTGTCAACAGTGTGATCCTGCTTCCTAAAAACCCCGAGCACTTTGTGGTGTGCAACAGGTCCAACACCATGGTCATCATGAACATGCAGGGCCAGATTGTGAGAAGCTTCAGCTCTCGTAAGAGAGAAGGTGGTGACTTTGTCTGCTGTGCTCTTTCCCCTCATGGTGAGTGGATCTACTGTGTGGGTGAGGACTTTGTGCTCTACTGTTTCAGCACAGTCACTGGCAAGCTGGAAAGAACTCTGACAGTTCACGAGAAGGATGTGATTGGTATTGCCCATCATCCTCATCAGAACCTGATTGCTACCTACAGTGAAGACGGCCTCTTAAAGCTCTGGAAACCCTAAGCTGGGCTTTCCCTACCCTAGCTTGGGAGCATGCCCACCTATGAAGACATACTTATGTGTTGCTCCTCTTTGTGCTTTTTTTTTGGGGGTGGGGGCAGATTTTCTAAGGAAACAAATTGAGCTAATCACAAAAGTTAATTTTGTGAAAATGCATTTATGTAGTAATTACCCTTTTAAGAAATATTTTTAAGGTATTTACTTCTAAATGGTGCTGTTACATAATGTTTTCAATAATCTTTTACACGGAGAGTGAAAGACTGGTATTTCTAGGGGGAAAGTAAACTCCTGTGATTATTGGAAATGATTAAAATTATACCTCTCCCAATAGAATGTGTAAATAAGGAAATACACTCAGTGCTTTTCTGGTTGGTCCTTTTTTAAGATGTTAATAAACTTTACACTTGTCTGGAGGCCTTGTTTTTGATATGTTATTTACCTGGTTAACTTGTTTACTTTGAATAAAAGATATCATCCCTGAATCTCCAGGTCAGCAGGATGGCAGTACTGAGGATGGTAGGAGAGTCTGAAAGTGTAGAAAGGCCAAGTGTCACATTAGATCTTCTTTCATTGCTGCCATTTATCCACTCGTTCCTCTCAGCTGTGTGGCTTCTCATATGTTATGGTCAACTCTAGGAATAGCACTACTCTTAGGATCCCTTATGTGAATTCCAAGTTTTGACATTGCACTTTTGTATGTGAACAAAGGTATGACATTAAAATGTGCTTTTCTGAAGAAAACAAACAAACAACAAAAGGACCCTAAAAACTTGCTTGGAGGAAACTGGTCATCTTTCTCCTGAGGAGAACTGGTGGATTTGAACCTCTCACCTTTAAGTTAGCAGCCCAACATGTTATATACTGCACCATCAAGGCTTCTTATTTATTCAATAAAAACTCAACTCCAAGCCTTCACAAACTGACTCAGAGCTGACCATCTAGTGGGGTTTTTAAAGTTGTAAATCTCATCAAAGGAGGTTGCCCATCTTTCTCCCTCAAAGCTATTGGCAGATTCCAACTGCCAGAAAGGCACCACCTTTTGGCTAACAGTGCAACTTCCTGTAGACTATTCCATTGCTGTTGTTGTTGCAGTTTGATGCCGTTGAGTTGAGCAGGACACCTACTGTTGTTGTAGTGACCCTATGAACGAAAGACTTGGACACCTGTATAACTTTCATCCCTTCTCCAGGTTCATAGGGTTTCTGGAGGCAAGCTATTTCGGAAGCGGATGCCACTCCTGCTTCCAAGCTTCTTTTAACAGGGGAGTTTCACTAAACACTGTCTACCATGGGTAACTATTGTTGTATTTGACACATCAGTGTCACACTGTTCACCTTCACAGCAATCACAAGTTACCTCTCTGTACAGCAAGTGGACAGACAAGGGCTATATGACCTAGATGAATATTTCACCAAAAACAATTAAAGACAGGCCCGAGTGCTGCAGATTAAAGTCATCCACCTTTGGCTTGGTAACATCACTTTCTGTCCACTAGGCCACCTGAGCTCTCTCTATACTGGACTCATATTAGGGAAATGAAACCTAAACCACACCGACTATCTCACACAATAGTACAGACAGAAAATGAGCTGCTAAATATTTTGTTAGACGTATTCTTATAATATTTTAGGGGGGGGGAAAGCCAAATACAAAGCTACAAAAATACCTAAAAAAACGCCCCAAACTCACCAACCAACATGGGCAGGTTTTAATCACCATCTTTGCCCCAAAGGTTGCATTTCCTTAAAAGTGGACTTGTACGTTCTCTTGTAATATTTCACCGGATATTCGGTACTCCTCTTCAACACCTCAGTACAAAAGTATCAATTCTTCTTCTGTCACCCTTATTATCTACCTTTCAGATGAATACAAAGTAATTGAAAAGACCATCTCTTGGATCAGGAACACGTTAGTCTTTAACCTGACTTCGGTACTCTTCAGCACTTTGGAGAGGCCTTTGATAGCTGATTTCCCAATGCAGCAAGCCTTTTGATTTCTTAACTACAGGGTGTTGAAGGTGCATCCAGGTAAAATGAAATTGTTGACAACTTTCATTTTTCCCCATCCATCATGATATGAGCAAATAAAAAAATAACATAATAAAAATGTTTCTGTTCTTAAGTGCCATTTAGTTGTAGGTGACTCATAGCAACCCTATGAACGGAAGTCCTCAACACTTGTGTGACTTTTGTCCTTTCTCCAGGTTCCTAGTTTCTGGAGGCAAGCTATTTCAGAAGTGGATGCCACTCCTCCTTTCAAGTTTGTTTTAATTGGGTAGCTCCACCAAACACTGTCCACTATGGGTAACCATTATGGCATTTGACACATCAGTATCACAGTGTTCAGCTTTACAGCAAACACAAGTTGCTTCTGTACGGCAAGTGGACACACCAGGGCTATACAACCTAGAAGAATGTTTGACCAACAACAATTTAAAACAGACCTGAAGGCCGTGGATTAAAGTCACCCACCTTTGGCGTGGTAGCATCACTTTATTTCCACTAGGCCTGCTGAGCTCTATGTTTTTGATAATAAAAAAATAATAATTCCACACATGGAATGTTATTTAACAGTAAAAGAGACTAAAACAAGGATTCATGCTTCAGCATTGAAGAATCGTGAAACATCATGTTAAGAAAAAAGAGGATAGTTGCAAAAGGCCACATCCTGCTTGATTCCAATCACATGAAATATTAAGAAGATGCAAAGTCACAGAAACAGAAAGTACATGAGTGATTTCCGGGGGGTCAGGGTAAAAGGGGAAATGAGAGTGACTTAATGGTTATGGGGTTTCTTTTTTGTGGTGATGAAAGGTTCTGAAAGTAGACAGTGGTAAGAGTTATACAAATCTGTGACTCTACTAAAAACCACCGAATTATGTAATTTAAAAGGGTGAACTTAACGTTATATGAGTTATATTTTAATAAAGCTGCTATTCAAATAATGTCTTACAAAGTCTATACTCCTTCCAAGATAGACTTGTTCACTCTTCTGGCTTTCCTTACCCACAAAGCCTTAAATATTTATGTATCTTTGTATGTATGTATGTATGTATGTATGTATATATGTATGTATGTATGTATGTATTTAACTGCACACACACATACATACCAAGAGGCTACTTTGTAATGACTAAAATGGTTAAAACTCAACTTACTTCACCAACACTGTAGTTACAATATATCAATTTTTTTTCTTCTTCTTAATTTCTTGTCCAGGGTTGCATCTGCCATTTGAAACATTTTAGTTGATATCCTATTGATTCCTGGAGCCTTATTTTTTGACAATGTTTTCATCCAGCCTGAAATTCTGCCTTCCTTACCACTGGTTCTTGGTCATAAGGTATTTCTGGAACTATTTTAGTGTTTGTCAGGGTTTTTTGGCACAGTGACTCTGTGTATTCCATCCATCTTCTTTTGATACTTCCTCGATTATTCAAGATTTTGCCCATGCTACAACCAGGAGAAGATAACATAGATGAATGGGACCTTCTAAGACTCAAATCCCTATGCACATCCAAAAACTTCTCCAGTAGGGTAAAAAGGGAA